GCAACACCTACCTTTCCTCATTTGTAAAATAAGAGATTAATTCTAAATCTCTGATCATAAGCTTCTTCAAGGCTTTACTACAACTAAGAAGCACAGTAGAAAGAGTGCCTGCCCTAGAGTCAGGAAGACTCATCTTCCTGAGTTCAAATCTAGCATCAGACACTTACTAGTTTTGTGTGACCCTGGGCAAGTCACTTAACTATGTTTGCCTCAGTTTCCTTATCTTAAAATGCTCTGGAGAAGGAAATGGCAAACCACTAATGAAGAGTGAGACACAACTGAACAATAACAACACCGAAATAGGCTTCCAAATCAAGAAAGGAAAAGGAGTTACCCATAAGTCCTGTCACAGGGGCTAAAAGTTCTCTTTAGAATATCTTACTTTGTCGTTCTTAAGTTGTTTTCTTCAGTTTTTCTTACTAACCATGATTAATTCAGGAACAATCTGTAGACAGCCTGAATTACAGAATTTTTTTAAAGCCTCTCTGGCTATCTAGTAATATGATAAATGGAATTAACATAAGCCACTGGTTGAATGAAGGGCTGAGGTTTACCTGGTCTGCTTTAAAGAATAAATAAGATAGTTTTCATTCATTTTTACTCAATTATATGAAAATATGTAGAACTGTAGTGCTGGAATTAATTACGAGAGGAAAAAAAACACTGCCTTGTAGTGTTACACTATTAATTGGCTTTGCTTGGCCTTCCTACAGGGGGGAACAAAGGCATACATCACCCAGCACCAGTCAAAACACCATGAATTCTGAATCAGGGTAGTCTAAGTTAATGGTTCCTTATTGAACTGTAGCTTCTTAAAGAGTATTAGCAGGGCCTCCAGGCAGGTCCTGGGTGGGGACTATAAGAAGCCACAAAGCTTGGAATATGCCTTAGTATATCTGAAGCTGATAACCATTTATTGTTCTTTTTTTTTTCCAGTCATATGCAACTCTTCATAACCCCATTTGGGGTTTTCTTGACAAAGACACTAGAGTGGTTTGCCATTTCCTTCTCCAGCTTTTTTTACAGGTGAGAAAAGTGAGGCAAGGTAGGGTTAAGTGACTTGCCCAAGGTCACACAGCTAGTGTCTGAGGTCAGATTTGAACTCAGGGCTTCCTGACCCCAGGGCCAGTGCTCTATTCATTGTCACCTATCTGCCCAATCATGTGAGTATTTGTGCAGTTTCCATGCTGTTCCCAGAATGACAAAAACAAAAATGTGAAGATATTACAGGAATAAGTTTTATTTTAGGTTATATAATAATAATCACAGTCAGCATTTATATAAGAACCTATGGTATCTCATTTACCCTTACAAGAACTGTATAGGCACTATTATTATCCCCATTTTACAGACAGGGAAACAAAGGCTGAGACAGATTATGTGATTTCTCCAGGGCCACAAAGCTAGTCAGTATCTGAGGAGGAATTTGAATCCAGGTACTCCACACCCAGCACTCTTACACACCGCACCACCAGTCACCTGACGTTGTCTAATCTTGACATGCGGCAGAGACACAGAAGGAACTTTCACATAACTAAGGAAAGCATCTTTAATAATTCATACCTTTGATATTTAATTCTTTCTGCCTAAGATCCACAAATACAGGAGGAAACTGTGATTTCTGCCTTCAAAGGAGACTCCTAATGCAGGGAATCCCTTCTCTAGGGCAGATTACAGCCCATGTATACCCTGAAACCATTTAAACTCTAAGGAGTATCATGAAGTACAAGAAGTTAAGTAATTTACTTAAAGGCCACGCAGCTAATTGTCACCGCGGACACTGAACTAGCTCCTCCTGATTCCAAAGAGGCTCTTGCTAATTTTTAAAATGTACTTAATATTCCTTATTTCTTCCATTGCTCCTGTCCAGAATTCATGACGCTACCACTACAAGTGTGATACACCAATATATTCTCCCCCTATTTACTATCTCCCAAAATCTGTTGTTTGGGGGCAGCCGAGTGTCACAGTAGATAAAGTGCAGGTCCTGGCATTGGGAAGACTCATGTTCCTGAGTTCTAATCTAGCCTCAGACTCTTACTAGCTCTGTGACCCTGGGCAAATCACTTAACCACATTTGCCTCAGTTTCCTCATCTGTAAAATAGGCTGGAGAAGGAAATGGCAAACTGTTCCAGTATCTTTACCCAAATGGGGTCATGAAGAATCAAACACACCTGATACAACTGAAAAAATAACAAATAGAAATATTTATTAAATACTAAAATACTATAAAATGTATTAAATGTTAAATATTATTTAATGAATATTTCTATTCACTAACAGGTATTTTTCCAAAACACTGTTTTGACATACTCAAAATAGAGATGAAATATTTGTTAAGTTGATTATTTTTAAAAGAGAAATCTTTGGTTTTAAGCATAGATCATGAGGCATAGTAAAGAGAGCAGGCACAGAAAACATAGTAAAAAGAACATTTTGTCCATTTTATAATTTGCAGTGTTTAGTACACCTCAGTCTTCTGCAAACTACCAAGTATTTGTGATTCACAAAGATTTAGTAAAGACTCTACTATCCTTTTGCTTTTAACTCAATGGGCTCCTAAGTTTGGGCATCCAGACCATAACGAGATTCCTAACCATCTTTTCAATGAAAAGGCTTTTATTTCTTTTTCTTTCTTTTCAACAGGTAAAAATCATATATTTGTTTGTTTGTTGGTTGGTTTGAATTGCCACTTGTGGGTCTATCAACCATTCTGAATTAAAACGGACAGAAAAAAATGATCCTAGGCACATGTTCACAGAAAGGGAACCAAAATAAACCACTCCTCCTCCAAAAAAAAAAAAAGGAAAAAGGAAAAAAAACCTCAAATAAAAAAGATCAGTTCCTAAAGAGTGGTTCTTATTTTTACACTTTGGACCTAGCTAATAAATCCTGAGCATTTTACTTAAGATCACTTGAAATACCTAATACATCACCAAAGTAAAAACAAAAATACCAAAAGCCTGGATTCTAGTTATGGTAGATTCAGTCTGCCATATCATTAGCACAGGAATAAATGTAAAGTCTTAACAATTAGGTGCAAAAAATCAACTACAAAAGTCCAAGATTGGAAAGGTATATAGTATATAGGCTGTAGTTGTTCTGAAAAGTGGGGTTTAGTGAGCTCCACGTTCAACATGTCAGTAGTATCATGCTGCCAGAAAAAAAGTTAATGCAACCTGGACTACCTTAAGACAGACATAATTTCCAAGAGTGACATTAATGTGCTCTGCCTTTGTCAGACCTCACTTAGAGTATTTAATTCAAGGCACCACTGTTTAAAGACACTGACAACCTGCAGAAAGTTCCAGAAAATACAGACAAATCAGGATGGTGAAAAGTCTTGAGTCCATGTCATGTGAGAATAACTTGAAGGAATTAAGCTGAAGAAGGGCATGCTGGTGAGAAGAGGCAGGGTGGGAAGAGACACATGATAGCCAACTTCATATATTCAAAGGAAGGATACCCCAGAGGGTAGAACCAGTTGCAATAATGTTTGTTCTTTGTTCTAGAAGAGGACCAATGACATCGTGAGAGTGATGTCTTGACTTGCAACAGATGGTAATTAAAAGAGGTAAATTTAGGCTTCCTAAAAAAATTAGAACCCTTTAAAAGTAGACTTGAGAGGTGGTGGGTGACACTTTCTTGGAGGTCTTCAAGCAATGGCTATATAACCACCTAATGAGTATGTATTATTAGGGCTTCCTTTTGTGTATGAGTTGGATTAGATGGCTGCTGAGTTTCCCTGCAATTCTCAAATTCTGTGATTCTGTGATATCACAATGTTTCTGTACTAGATACTGGAGCATTCCTGTCCAACTTGGGTTTCATATAAGAATCAGCAAATCTAAGTTGTAGTCTTAGCTGTGCCAACAACTAGCCCTGAACAAATCCTTTTATCTCTCTAGGCCTCAGCCTCTTCATTTCTAAATTGAAGACATTGGACTAGAGTATTTCAAGGCTTCTTCTAGCTCTGAAATTCTACAATTTCATAAATGAAAATGATGGATTATGAATTAGCCATATCTTTTCCACTTCTTAGCTAATTCTTGGATTCCATATGCAAGAATCACAGGAATCAAAGCCTGGCTCAGTGAAATATGATTTAATGTTTCTTTTTATTCCATCTAATTTTAACCCAATCTTAATTATGTTTCTTGTTTCCTATGCATTTTATATAAGGAATAAGTTTCTTCTTGAAAATCAAAAGTGTCATCTGGTTTAAATACTGAAATAGTTGGGAGGAAGAAATTGACCAAAAATCTCAAAGTGGTAGAAGAGGTACTAAAGAAAATAATATTAATACTGTACTCTGAGTTTTAGATACAAGTATACCAGAAACAATTTTATTTAATTTAACATTAATATAATACCCAGTTATTTCTGTATTAGAAAAAAGAGATGTCCAAAATGGAATAATTTACCAATGTTCTCTAACATGCCTCTCTCCCTCAAGATGATTTGAGGTAAACATTTATAGCATCTTGAACAAAGAAAGATAAAAGATCTTGAGGTTAGCGTTAAAGAATTTTGAGTGACAAAATCACCATCCCATTTCTCCAGGACCATTCCCTATAAGGAATCAATGGGACTTCCCTGAGAGACCAGTAAGGAGAAACTCTTTGGAATAGAAGAGAGTGATTCTCATCTGAAGAAGAGAAGGTGTTTACTCCCCTTTGAATTGAATCTAGAGCACTTCCTTGGGCAAATTCACTTAAGGGAATTAAGAAGAGGAAATTGCCCTTCCGATGGGTCAATAGCCCAATCACTTCAGGGGTAGGCAAGGCAATATTCTCAGTGAGAGTTATTCTTTGTTTTAAACTTTGGTTATAGTCCTTAATGTATTTCCCTAAGAAAGGCCTTTTGTCCTTGACCTAACCAGCTTATGAAGGGAAAGTATACAAAGAGTGTTTTTAGACCAGAGGAATATTAGTTAATATTCCAAGAGAAGCTAAAAAAGAGGTTTTCAATATGCTTCTACAAGAGGGCCTGAACTTACCATTTTCTTCTTATCTTCTTGGAAGTGAACATCCACAAACATTTTTCCAGCAACATAAGGAAGAGCACTTTCAATGAAGTTTACACATTTGTCCCACTGAGGTAACAAAATTGTAGTCCCTTGGATTACCTGTTGAAAATAACATGGACATCCCTTTGAAAAAGTTACAGATTAGAATAACACAACCCACCACATAAAAAACAAGAAAGGAAGAAAGAAAGAAAGAAAGAAAGAAAGAAAGAAAGAAAGAAAGAAAGAAAAAAGGAAGAAGAAGGAAGGAAAGGAAGGAAGGAAGGAAGGAAGAAGAAGGAAGGAAGGAAGGAAGGAAGGAAGGAAGGAAGGAAGGGAAGGAAGGAAGGAGGAAGGAAGGAAAGGAAGGAAGGAAGGAAGGAAGGAAGGAAGGAAGGAAGGAAGGAAGGAAGGAAGGAAGAAGAAGGAAGGAAGGAAGGAAAGAAAGAAATGCAGGATCTCCTAGACATAAGAAACTCCTAGCATATAGACAAAATTACATGACTTTTCCCCTTGGTATTTTCAAAAATTCCTCAAGATCAAGAAATACTTCAAATTTCCTTTCAAGAGCAAAAAGCCTATGTCTCATTTTAAGAGTGAAGTTTAAAAAAAAACAACTCTATCACAGCTTTAACTGTCCATCCATGTTATTCAGTTAGTCAGTCATTCTATATCATTGATTTTTAACTGATTTGATCCTTTTACAAAGTTTGCAAATTTTGTGTCATTGTATAAATAACTGCTTCCTCTTGCCCTCAAATCTTCTACAGGCAGCTGCTGCCCTCTGCCAGATCATTCCACATCTCCCCAACTTTAGTCAAAACCTTCTCTCAGAAACAACTCCATAAGGTAGAGGTAAGTTGGAGGACAGGGAAATTATTCAACTAACTCCAAGACGTGGTACTTAATGGATTTCTATCCACTTAGATGAAAGTTTCCACCAGAGTTTTTTCTTTCACCCTGTTCTGTTCAACATTTTTATCACTTACTTAAATAATGGCATAGATGATGTGCGTTCAAATCTGCAGATATCAATAAGCTAGGAGGAATAGCTAATACATTAGACAATGGAATTAAGAGCCAAAATAGCTCAGCAGGCCACAACAGTGGGCTGAAACCTGCTGTTGATCTAAGAACTAAAATTTAGTAAGGATAAAGAACTACTAAGTTAGATTTTGGTTTGTTTGTTTGTTTGTTTTTTGTTTGTTTGTTGTAAAGCAACAGTACAAGAACAGGATAGGGGAGAGATCACTAGAAAGAATTTCATGTGGAAGAAGTCAGGCAGACCCTGAGTCCAAATTTGACCTGACACTAGCTGTGTGACCCTCGGCAAGTCACTTAACCTTGTTGGTCTCAGTTCCTCTTATATAAAATGAGCTCGAGAAGGAAATGGCAAACCATTCCAGTATCTATGCAATGGGGTCCTGGACAGTCAGAGACAACTGAACAACAACACGTGCTTAATATGAGTTCTCAGAGTAACATGACAAAAAAACTAATGCAATCGTATACTTAATATTTTAAGTATAGGTGGCTTTTTTGGTGTGGGCACTGTCCCTAAATGAGGTGAAAAAAATTGGACATGACTGAAATGACTCAGCAAAAGCACTGCCTTTACTGATGCAAGTCACAACTCCAAAACACCTCTGTAGTCAGCCTTAATGACTTTTAAATGACTTTTAAAGCCTCAGCTAAAAAAAAAAAACAGTATTAGCAGGTTATCATCCCTTCGGTGATGACTCTCCAAATTGAGTTAAGCTTGGCATCCAATGATTTAACCATAGTCCAATCTGGGGCCGTGTTCCAGATTGTTAGCACCTTACCACATTTGTCTTTCCCTGGCATAGCCTCCAAAAGAGCAAGGTCACCTTCGCTCCTCAGATACAATCCTCAGTTTCAAGTCCAAAGAGTCAATAGTGGCACAGCTGCCAAAAGAACTAAAAGCACAGTTCCCTGACCAATGGAGATGGCAATGTCACTGTACTATGTCAGCTTCTGTCCATTTCCAGGTATTACACTTTAGCAGGGATGTTGATAAGCTGGAATGAATCTAGAGTTGGAGTAAATGATCATTTATAGTTCTGATTCCTCTGAACCTGAATGGTGACAGAACTAGAATCCAAAACGAATGAAGACTGGCTGAAGGAACTAGAGATGGTGAGCCTGGAGAAGAGACGATTTAGGGAGCTATGATGATGACAGCTTTCAAATATCTGAAAGATTGGTACACAGAAGAGGGTTTGGGCTTGTTCTGCTTTGTCTTTAAGGATAGAAATATGACCAATGACGGGAAGTCACAGAGAAACAGGTTTTAGTCCAATATAAGAAAAGTGCCCTAAAAATGAAAACTACCATTGGAATACCTCATTTTGGTGGATACTGAATGAGTCATAACAATGATAATCATAGCTACCAAGAACTGTATAGGTTCACAAGGTGCTTTCCAAAGTGTAGAAAAGAAAGGATTATTTACGAAGTGCCTTCCCCACAAACCCCTGAGCCACATATTACAGAAATGTTATCATTCTTACTTTGCAGATGTGTAAGCCTAGGCCCTGAGAAGTTAAATGGCATGGCTATAGTTACAAAACGAGGCACAATCAAATGCAGGATTTGAAGCCAGATCTTCTGACCACTTACTAACCACTGCTTTAGATCACATCAGAAAACAAGATTATACAATGCCATTCTGGAAGCTTATCACTAGGGGCAGCTAGGTGGTGCAGTGCCTGGTCAGGAGTCAGGAAGACTCATCTTTCCGAGTTCAAATGTAGCCTGATGCTTACTATCTGTGTGACCCTGGGCAAGTCACTTAACTCTGTTTGCCTCAGTTTCCTCTTCTGTAAAATGAGCTGGAGAAGGTAATGGCAAACCACTTTAGTATCTTTGCCAAGAAAATCCCAAATGGGGTCACAAAGAGTTAGACACAACTGAAAAAAACTGAACAATAAAAATCATGACTTTATCTTTTTTCCTTTGACAGGGAAAAAGTTCACCCCCAAAACACTGATAGATAGATAGATAGATAGATAGATAGACAGATAGATAGATAGATAAATGATAAACAGACATATATATGCATGTGTGTCTCTGTGTGTGTCCATGTGTGTATGTGTGTATATGTGTTTTCCAATCTCCAGTCTTTTACTCTGAGTTGATACAGCAGAAACTGTGTTTCTCAATTTGGGTCAATCCTGATGAAAATCAGCAAAAAGACAAAAAAAAATTGCACACTATTTTGACTCAGTAGAATGATTTGAAGTCTCTCAGCTTCAAGCTCATTAGTGGGTATAATAGAATCATAGGGTGTTAGAGGTTATCCCAGCACCTTTATGTTAGAGAGAGGAAAGTGATGCCCAAAAAGACAAAGTGACTTGCTCAAGGTTACATAATGAGGCATTGACAGGGTGAACACTTGGATTCAAACCCAGTCTTGTTTTCTCTTCATTACTGCATGCTGCATGGGTTACACCTTAAGGTTACCTCACAATGAAAACCAAATTAGTTGTTCTTCAGTTATTTTTCAGTTGTGTTTAACTCTTCATGACCCTATTTGGGCTTTTCTTAGCAAAGATATTGGAATGATTTGCCATTTCCTTCTCCAGCTCCTTTTACAGATGAGGAAACTGAGGCAAACAGAGTTAAGTGATTTGCCCAGGATCACAGAGCTACTAAATGTCTGAAGCCAGATTTAAACTCAGGAAGAGTTCCTGACTCCAGGCCCAACACTCTATCCACTGCTCTACCTAGCTACCCATATTCCAAATATGGTTCGCTATATGTCTTTAAAACAGCAAATCTAGCAGATCACTTAAAAAACACTCATTTCTTCACCACAGTAATCATTATTCCATGAAGAGGTGTGTAATCTTTCAAATCACCCACTAAAGAGGATTCTCCTTTCTTTGGTCTCTATTCCCCCTCAATCAATCAATCAATCAATCAACATTTATTAAGAACCTGCTATGTGCTTAGTAAGGATACAAATACAAATACAAAAAAACCCCTGCCCTCAAGGACCTTACAATTTAAACCTTCCCTTTAAAATTTGTCATTGAGAGAGGCAGATAGGTGGCACAATGGATAGAGCACCTGACACCAGGAGGATCTGAGTTCAAATGTGGCCTAAGACCAAACACTTGACACTTACTAGCTGTGTGACCCTGGGCAAGTCACTTAACCCCAACTGCCTAAAAAAGCATAAACAAAAAAAAATCTGTCATTGAGAAAGACTTAGCCACCACCACTCCCAGCTCATATCGCATCAAAGGAACAAATCAATAACTATTAAGTCAGATTAGGATTTTTATGTCTACCTGTTTTGCAGAAACAAATATGGTCTCTATTTTATGCAATCCGTTATATGCATCACATATCCATATTCTCCTTATAAGTGATCATGCAGGAAATAAAATTGTGTTAAAACCACTATGCGCTTAGTGACTTAATTGGAAATCCACCTTTGCATTTGAACATTTCCACAGAATATCTCATGCTGCCAAGAGTCTGGTACAAGTTTTAGCTCTGATTCTTCCTACTATATGCTATTGGTCAAGTGACTTCATGAGTCTCAGCTTCATTTACTGTATCTATAAAACCTGGATAACAATGCTTGCACTCTCTTTGCATTACCACCTTCACAGAGGAGTTTAGAAAAAGCACTTTATAAACATCAAAATGCTATAGATGTGTGAGTTTTTATTATTATATAAATGATAGTTAATATTCTTATTTTATTTAGACGCATAGCAAAGTAGAGAAGTTCTGAGTTCAAATTCCACCTCTGACCTGTTCTATGTGTGTGTGATCATGTCACTTCTTGTTGTTTGTCCTTTGTTTTTGAAAAAGACCAATGACATCACAGTCAGGGTATGTATGTTATGCTTTGCTGTGGTGGATCAGTCCAATAAGAGTTTGGAAGGCACTATCACAGATTAGGCACACTGAGAGTAGAAGTGGCTCGGAGTATGTGCAGCTCACATTTTTTCACGTCACTTAACCCATTTGGGTCAGGCAACTTGCTATGAATATGTTATAGACAGCTTATGTTCTGCACTGCCTCAAACACTTACTAGTTATGTGACCCTGGGCAAGTCACTTAACCTATTTGCCTCAGTTTC